ATGTTGGCAATCGGGTGTTACCACCCAGAACCGCAGAAAAAAAGCTGCAAATATACCCAAAATGGCTTTCTCAGCCTTTATAAGCCCTGGAGCCTACGTGGCATTTTCTATGGCCAGAGGCAGCGTTTTGTGAGATTATCTTTTAAAAAACTGGTTAGAGAGGTCCACTGGAGCTTTGAAAAAACTCCTAAAACCTGAGGAGAGATTGAAGAAATAAATAAGCAGATTTGTTTTTTAATACATCATCAAATTGTACTGTTTTTAACTTCCAAAGGACAAAAATCAAATAAATGGCAAAGTAAATGGCAACTTTTTCCCAGCTGGAAAGCACATTCAGGATTTTCAACTAAAAACTCCCAAAAGGACTAGGACTAATGATGAGAAACTAAGAAAAACATGAATTCCTTCTTTTCAAAATAAGAAGGAGAAATCAGTCATACTTGGTCTGTATATTTTGCTGTCCACTTTGCATAATCCATGGCCATAAATAAAAACATAAATTAACAAAATGGTGTAACATTGGTGTTTATAGACAGATAAGAGGAAACTAATCGAGCTAGTCATCTACATCTGGGAGAACAAAGTGAATCAGATAAAATTAATGAAGAGAAAGGGGAAAAACACTCAGTGGTCCATCATGTCAGACAACACTGTAGTTCTAATTTGTTGATTTCAGATTTCAGAAAGACTTTCTGGGCTCCTCAGCTTATTTGGTTAATGAATTACCTCACTCGCTGATCCTCTCGTCTCCCTGGTCACTGTGGTCTCTCTTAATTAAAATCAAAACCATACTGCTTCAATAATTTGATCATACTATTTCTCTTCTCAAAACCTCAAGGAGGCTTTTAATTGTACTAAAACGTGGAATTCAATTTAAAATCAATACTGGGACCCCAAGCCCACGCCTGAAATGTTCTTATGTCTCCGACCCAGCTGCTGCGGTCTCACTGCTGTACCAGCCCGGGGCGGCACAGGGGGCAGTCTGCTCTAACAGCATCCTGCTGTGATTCCCCCTTTTCTTGATTGTACCTTTCTCTGGTCAAATAAAGGAACACTCAGGAGACAGCTGCTACAATGGCTGGTTAGGTTAGCTGTGGTGAATTGCAGTTCAGAGTCCATGAGCAACACATCTTGTTTTATTTCTTGTGAAACCATAAACTCCATGTTTTCAACTTGTCAGGAGGTCCACAGCACTCCTCGTAGGGGCTGATCTGATAGCTCTAATCTGTACCTTTAAAACCAAAACTGATGATGTAGATGCAAAAATTTCAGGAAAAGACATGCGGTTCCCTTCAGCCATCCCTCCTCTTCCTCACTCCTGCCTTAATTCTTCCTTGCTCCATAAAAAAATAAGGAACCCTGGATTTCCTGGTGAACTTCCATAAAAGGGATTTGTTTCAGAGCCAGGGAATCTGATTCCAACATTTTGGGCTGGGTTGTGGAGGGCTTTTAAAAAAAAAAAATACTTTAGACAACGTGGAAGTATCTGGAAGGGTGCCTTCAGTCCCAGCCATCCTAGAAATTACTCAGCATGTCAGGGCCCTGAGCCAGCAGCCACCTCCCTGCCATCCCTGCCACGTTAGCTCCAAAAGTGATGTGGGTGAGCTATGAGTCCAGAAACGCCAGAGTAATGGGATGTCTTGTGCAGAGAAACCCTCCACACAATCGGCAATAATTCCTTCCAAAGCACGCCCTCCATCCAGTGCGCACTAAGCCTCTTCAAAATTTAAGTTACCGAGACCTTGAAAAGCTGGATGCAACCCACACACACCAGCATCTTGACCCGGGGATACCCTACTCAGATGGGACTTCTTTTTCTAATTGGTCAGTCACAAGAGAGGAGGTTGTAGGAGAGTAGTTTTTTTAATAAATTTCCTGCATAGTTGGCCCCTTATTATAATTGTTCATCCAGTGCATCCACCGTTGCTAATTCCCCCAAAGTGCTATGCAGAAGCCACACCTATGACAGGGACCTTCAGATTCCAGTAAAGCTTCGCATGCAAAAATGATTTTTTTTGTTTGTTTCATTTTAGGAAGAGCATGCTCACCCCAGCTCCTGGAGTCTGAGCCAGCTCTTCTGCAAATGTCAGGGTGGGAGATGGCCCCGAATGTCGTAGGTTCCTCAGCCAGAGCTCAAGCATGAGAATCAGGTTCTCATCAGGGAGAGAATTTCGAGAAATTTAGCATGAACAAAGAAATGAGGCAACTATGGGCTGTCTGAGTTCTACAAGAAAAATGGGGCTCTGATTTTAGGCAGTCTGACAAGCTATCTTGCTCTACCCAGCTTCACTGACTCATATGACAACCTAATCCTTAACCAGAAGGACACACACACACACACACACACACACACACACACACACCATGAAAGAGAATTAGGATTAGACTCTTGCTTGGCTCTAACACTTTTGAATTAGATGTGTTATTTCACATCACCGAACCTTAGGAAACTCATGAATAAAACCTTTCCTCTCCCCTGCTCAGAGCCAATCTCACTTTCTCCTATTTTAATATTAGTGTTCTATGCCACCTGCCTTGCCAAGCGCAAGGTCCCAAGTTCAATGCCCGGTACCAAGAAAAAGAGTCCAAAAAATTAGTGCTCTATTTGATTGTCTAGTTTAATCTTAAGGCATCCACGGCAGAACTTTCCTATCATCAGGAACCTTATTTGTCTTGGCTCTGTATCTTTCATGCCTGAAAAATTGCCTGGGACAATGAATAGTGACAGAATTAACAAATGCCAGAAAAACCTCTGCGTCTCCAGTTTTCTGTCTACCGTTGGCAAGCTTTACCCTTAAGTAAGTCATCTGAGCTGATGCCTACAGCTTCTTCATCTGTAAAGCAAGGTCTTCGAATTACCAGTCTTTGGTTCTTCACCTGGGAGTTGCAGTTCAGTGGAGTAGAGTACTTGCCTAGTTGGGTTCAAGGTCTTTGGTTTGATCCGCAGCACCAGAGGTGGGGGTGGGAGCCTAGTTCTTTCAAGACAGTGAAGAACTGTCCCAGTGCTCTGCTGGATTCCTTCATGTGGACTGGCGGAACTTTCATCAGCTGAAGCACATCTCACATGGTAAAGACAACCTGCAGTGATTCAGTCCAGTTAGACTCCTGGGACTTGCATCCTGATCCTGATCCTCCCCCTAACAAGCTCTGGCTTCGAGGCAAGCTTCTTAATTTTGCTGAGCCTATTTCTTTAGCTAGAAAATAAAGATAGTAATAACAACACTAGCTCAGGGGGCTGTTAGATGAATAAGGGAATACATTTATGTAGAGAGAAAGAAATGTGTGGGAGAAATAATAGGCACTCAATTGAAGTCCACTTTAATTTCTATATTTCTAGTTAGATGAGTAATGGTGCTGCCCTTTGGGATGTTTGAATAGCATTTGTTTTTGTTTTACACAATTTTTTTTCTTTTTGATCAACTGTAGTCTGATTTCTGCATAGAGCAATCTAAATTGCTATCAAATATAAGAATAAAGACATATTTTGTAGGTAGTCCCTATACTATTTATCAAAAATATTAATAATTATATCTCTTAGTCTAAAACCACAAATTCAAGAAGTTGAACCAGTCTCAGTCCTCCCTGACTTCTGGAATTTATCCTCACGAACATTTTGTTTCCCTATGTATAAGATCAGTTTTATTATTTTTCTTCATTAAAGATATTAAGAGTGAATAAATGTTAGAAAAATTGTACTGCCTAGGCTTTAAACTTTTACTATTTACTATTATTAATGCTGCTCTGGCCATAGTACTGCAACACAACTTTCCCTATGGTAAAAATTTATGTGGTCATTTTGTTATTCAGAAAAGTTTGCTAAGATTGAAGTTGAAAGAGTTATGAACTATGGATAACCCATATACCACTAAGGGATTGTTACATTATTATTTTTCTCAAAATTATTCTACCCAAAAAAACACAGATTTATTTGGAAAGACTCAGAACAATGAAATAAATACAGTACTGATTTCAAATGCAAATGTCATGTCATTGCTAAATGAGTCAACCCTCAAAAGACAATGATAAATCAACCGCATAATTCCTGCACGTCAAAGAGTTTTAAAGGTGATAGCTAGTAAATTGAAGTACACATCAAAGTTTCTCAAATAAAAATGTTAAATATAAGTTACTTCTTGATATATATCTAAAATCTGTCAGGTACAGGGGAAAATAATCCATTAACTTAACAGAAGTAACCAGTATCTTGCACTGCCTAGGAATGGGCCTCAGGGTATATTCAGCAGCATTCTGGTCCCAGCCCTGTGGCTGTGTCCCCAGTTCTGGTCCCTCCAGCAGCTGTCCTGGGGACGTGGAGGAAGGCCAGGTGCAAAAGGTCTTTCTGATCTGTCAAAGCCCTGTCCTATGCTAAAGGGTAGCATAGCTGTTGCCTCAGTAAGAGAGCACAGGGAGTGGCTGCTAGCAGACACCCTCCCCACGAAGGCACTTAAGAGTAGCACCTAGACTTGCTATGCCCACCCAGCAAGCTTTCTCAGCTGTAGGTTTTAAACTCAATGCCAACATCTGTTTTCACCAGCTGTTGAAACCTGAGGACACTTCCCGCTTCCAGGTTACTGCGCCTTACGTTTTCTGAAGAGATCGAAGCTACCTGTTGTTAATTTATGATGTGAGTGGGCTGCGAATCAAGGAGTCAGAAAAATCGTGACCTGTAAAGGAGTTTTCCCTCCCCTTATGGATCAGAACCTTAATTATACAATAAATGGTCTTATTATTCACGCTGAGGACGCACGTGACCTTTAAATGCATCAGGGCTTGTAAAATCCAGTATGTTTCTCTGCTTCCAAGGGTGGGGGATTTTTTGAGCAAACTATTGCCTTTTCACTGGCACTTATGGCAAACAATGCGGCTGAAAATGCTAGAGTCTGGTCCAGCCACTCTGCTCCCTAAACTGAATCCGCTTGCTGCTGCGCCTTTAAGGCAGTGGGTTTTGCAGCTTAGCCGCTGAACTCTGCCCTCCAAGGACCGTGAGTCAGAAGGAGGAATGCGAGCTCCCCCTGTGCGAGCCCCCATGCTTTCTACTTTGGAAAGACCGCGGAGCCTCCAGGCGGAGGAGAGGCCAGTGCATTCTCTGCAGAGAGCGCCAGAATATTCCAGAAGCCTGCAAAAATTACAAGCATAATTCTTGACGTAAGCAAAACGTCTCTTCCTCCTGCTTGGGGGAGGACGACCACCTAGGGACGATACAGCTCCCCGCTGGGGTTTGGACCAGATGCAGGGGACGAAGGCCAGGAGGGCACTAAGATTGGCTCCCTTCTCTGCTCAGCACACACACCCACACACACTGTATGTCATTGTCTCAGCCAAGGGGGAGCAACACGTTTCAAGGTAAGGAGGGAGACTGTAAGAGGGATTACAGCATCCCCCACAGACATGAAAGAGGAGAGGAGAGGAGGGGAGAAGGAAGAAGGGAGAGAGAGAGAGCCAGATAAATAAACTGAAAGAAGAAACTAAACAGAAACAAAACAAAGTCTTTGGGCAGGTTCTAACCTTGCTAATATATCCAAGAGTAAGTTTCAGTGAACTACAGCTAACTCAAGAGACCAACAAAATTCAATATGAGCACATGTCAAACTTCTATAATAAGAATTAAGAATGAAAGGCAGCAGGGACACAACTCTAAAACTGGGCATCATGGAGGAAGAGGGGAGGGGAGGATAAGAATGAGGAATGTAGTCCTCTGGGACCCTGAACACCCCCTTAAGAAGAATTCTGTAGGCTGTGAATATCGCCTTAGTCCTGTAAAGTCAGCATGCTGGGAGGCTGAGGCAGGCAGACCCCAAGTTTGATCCCAGCCTAGGCAACCTGTCCATGATACTCTACATTAAAAAAAAAAAAAGAGGGTTCTGGGATGTTGCTCCATGTGAGGGTCCTGAGTTCAACTCACGGTGCTGAGATAAAAAAAAAACTTCCATTTTTTTCTCTTCTCCCTCCCAGTATTGCAGTGGAATCAGTTGTAGGAAAACCATTGTATAATTTTGTTTCCGGATGTTTGTCTTATTTGTTCTATTGTATGTAATAATATAAAAAAAACCCCAAAAAATAGCTCCTTTACATACAAAGAATCAATTGAAATTAACACAGATTATTACATGAAATATGACCTTTTGGCCCTCAAATCCAGTAAATGAAATAAATTGGCTACATAAGTAAAACGTTTGCCTAAAAATAGAAATTTAAGTCTTGCTTCCTAGGAGTTTAATGTCACACTAGTTAGTTCATGTTCTGTTATTATTTTGACTTAAAGTTGAAATACTAAAATGGCAAGTAAAGATCTGCTCATAACATTCTTAAATAAAATATGCATTCTAATATGCAACTTTAAAAAGAAAAAGATTGCTTTTGCAACAGTGTAACTTTCTTTAGTTAATCTTGTCCACCTAGCGCAACACGTGTATCCACTGATCAGACATTAGGCGAAGATACAAAAGAGTCAGAAACCAGTCAATGAACTATTGATTTCATTTTTCTCCTGAAGAGATAGCCCTGAGTTTCCTTTCTCCAATCAACTCATTAGCTTGGAATTCAAATCCTTTAATGACTTGGTTGAAACTTTCTTGCTTCCTTTCCTTTGTTTTGAAATGTCATTTTAATGTCTTTCTGAACTTTAAAGCAAGCAAAATCTACCCATTTGCCTCCTAACTTCTTACATTTGATTTCCTTTTTCTGAAATGACTTTCTACTCCCCATCCTCTGCTCATTTTCAAAGGCCAGCAACACTATCACGCATCTAAGGTCTTCAAACTGTTTGTCTGCCTTTTGCTTGATTTTTGCAGTACTGGGCTTATACCCAGGACCATCTCACTAAGCTGCATCCTCGATCCTTTTGAAATTTTCACATTTTTGAGACAGGGTCTCACTGAGCTGCTCAGGCTGGATTCAAACTTGGAATCCTCCTGCCTTGGCCTGCAGAGTGCTGAGATCACAGGGATGCCCACTGCTCCCAGTTCCAACTGTGTTTTCTTATACAGATTGTTGATTTATGGCCTCTATTTGGGTTCCTTGTATCTCCTGCACTTTTCAGTGATGATCTGTCCCTTCATGCCCCACAACTGTGTTTAACATAACCCCCATGTTTTACAAAGTACATAATTTCCTAATGCCCCATCCAAGAATCCGCAAGACCAAAAATACCAGATAAACAGAGTAATATATTTTTCTCAGTCATCTAGCAGGAGCTCTGTTAGTGTATACAGATATCATCATGACACAAAGCAAAATTTTAGCTCTGAGCTAGACAGATCTGTCAGGCAAAAGGTACAACTTGAATAATAATAATATCAGATCCGGTTCCCAGAAATCCTCTTCACCCCTGCTCTGAATCACTGCTGTGCATCTGCGGCTACTGGCCTTGGAAAACTGAATTGGCCAAAAATGTCCATTTGTCTGATTCAATTTGCTTAATCAATATAAAACAGGTTGACTGTAAGACTCAAAATGTTCTTGTCCATTCCTTTAAAAATCCTGGACCTTAGTCTACTTTTATGGCAGCAGCTACTGAAAGTTCTTATTTTGCAGATGTTTCCATCAGGCTTATGAAACACTCCACCAAGTTGCCTAAAGGTGAAAATTAATTTATTCACAAGATCTGAAATGTTTTCCCCTTAATTGAACACTGCCTTCTCAACCCTATTTATGGCTTCCAGAAGAAGAAAGACCCTCTCCACCCGCCCCCCAAAAAGCCCTGTTTGCTGAAAGGGTCAAGGACTTTCATAAAACATTTCCACTGATTTGTCAGAAAGCAATGCGTGGTACAACTGTCCCTACCCGCTTCCTGGCCTCTCACATTTCTTTCTAGCACCTTTCTTCCAACCTCTCTCCCCGCCTTCAGGCGTACTTTCCATCTCTGTCATTGCTCTTTCCTGCTTTCTCTCCTCTGCACCCTTCCATTCCGAGCTCCTCAGAGCATGTGCATGAGAAAGGAAGCAGGCGTGGGACGAGGAGCACGGGTCCCGCACACACTCCCGGTCGAGGAGCACGGGTCCCGCACACACTCCCGGTCGAGGAACACGGGTCCCGCACGCACTGCTGTTCTTCACAGACATGGGAGGACTCGCTAATGCTCCAAAGTAGCTGCAGCATTTTAAAAGAGGACATATAAATACATTTTCAAACAACTCAAAATGACACACAAATTATTCCGCCCTTTATGGGTAGGGAGCCAGCTCTGGTTGAGGAAAATAATGGAAAATAACGTATGCCTTGGAAACATTACCATATATAAATCACTGTCTTTGAGAGCTGTAGATTTTTCTGCATAAAATCCAGAAGGAGATTTGGAGATCAATTTCCACATTCCTAAACAAAACAACCACCAGATACTAGAAAAATGGACTTAAAAACATAATGTTCTGTGGGTTGCGAGGTTCTCCTAAATCGCTGTTAACTGCTTATACTCTTTCTCAGACCAACTTAAGAAAATGATTGAAACACAGTCCTCAAGCTTCCCAGATTTCACCTACAAATGCAAGCGAGTGCATGGGGCCAGGGTGGAAAGGTAGGAGCAGAGTCAGGTGGTGGGGACCTCCCTGAGGATTTGTGAGCTACGTGGTCCCCACAGTCACAAGGGCACCAGATAACTGAAACCCAAAGCTGGAAAACAGTCAGGCAAGGAGAGCAGTTTCTTCCTCATGGAATGCAATCTATTTATCCACCCATCCTGTGTGCATTTTCCTGCTCAGTATTTACTCACTGCTTATGCCATTCCAAGTACTTTTGGCTCCTCAAGACAAGGCAAAGAAAAAAAATGTCCCTGCTGTCCTGAACTTTGGCAGAAGATAGAAAGAAGAAATGTAAAGTAGGTTCGATTGATGATGGATAGGGCTAAGGCAGAATGGGTGGTCACAACTCCAAGTACGGTAGCTGAAAAGGCCTCACAGCCACAGATGAGGACCCAAGCAGTAATCCTAGCTATTCAGGAGGCTAGGACAGGAGGGTTGCAAATTCAAGCCCCACCTGAGCAAATTAGCAAGGTACTGTTTAAAATGAAACAAACCCTCATGGAGAAGACCTTAGAGCACAGACCTGAAAAGATGGAGTCAGTGAGGCCTGTAGATAGCCAAGGAAAACTGTCTCCAGCACAACAGCAGCACATGCAAAGGCCCTGTGTCCAGTATGCTCCAGGGGCAGCCAGGCACCTGGAATTAGGGAGGTAGTGTGAAGGGCCAGAGTACAGGACAGGGCAAGTTAACGTGCGGATGGCAAATCAACGTGCAGTGGACTTGTGCTCAGAAAGGGTGCTGATGAGTGTGAGCATAGATCTGACATGACCTTAAATATTTTAAGGGATCATCTGCAGCTGAGTGTAGAATAAACTAAAATAGTAGTGACGTAGGGGCCAGAACCAGTAAGGCTTTTTATGTACCTGAAAAAGGATGTGCCAGAATTCAACAGATAGACTAAGGTAAGTGAAAGAGAAACCCAAGAGGATTCCCAGGTCCTGGGACTGAGCAGCTGGAGACCTAGAGCTACCATTTATTATGATGTGAAATATAATAGTCTTGACTTCTTTCTTTGGTGGAGGGGGGTGAATCACACCATGACTGTATCCTAGTAGAGAGAGAGAGAGAAAAAACAATAAAACAATAAGCTAGAGAATGAGGAAATAAGGACTAGAATGCTATCCTTGGCAAGGGAAAATCATCACATTACAGTGATACAGGCATACTCATGATTATAATAACTCAACTCATGATAGCTAAATCTTGCAAGTGGCCTATATGTCCATCAGCAGACAGGTGGGTAAAAGAAACATGGTGGTGATACACAACGGAATGCCGTTCTACAATAAAGAAAGACAGACTTGGACTTGAGTCATTTGTAGGAAAATGAACGCACCTTGAGATCATAACGTTAAGTGAAATACATCAGACATATGGCTTAAGTACCACATGGTTTCTCTCGTATGAGAAACCCAGAAAAAAATACAGAGCAAAATAGTAGATAACAGGAAGAAGGGAGACAGATGGCTTTCAAAAGTGAAGAGGATCAAGAGATAGAGGAAGGGGGATGGAGGAAAGGGTGAAGGATTTAAAAAGGAACTATAGTGTGTTATGTACATCAATCGACTCCACACAATGATTATAAACATTATGTATTTCAAACATACAGAAAGCAGAAGGTGATCAAAAGATGGGTGGACGGGGAGGGAGGGAAGGGAAAGGGAAAAAAGAGCTTGGATGTGTTATCTATGTATACTAACTTTCCACAGGAATGTAAACTTTAGGCAGGATGCACATATACTAACAAAAAAGTTAAAGAAAAAAGGAAAACAGTGGCCTTGGACTAGAAAGTCCAAGTATATGATGAAAGAGGAAGAGGGAAAAAAA